ACGCGTCCGCAAGAATATTAACTTAAATAATACTTAGCTTTATAATCCAAATATCATCTTCGAACATAGAAAATTCCCAACGTCAATTACTTATTGTTACGAAATTTTCGGATGTCACAACGGGCCATGTGCTCGGTCAGCCCGGCCCTACGCCTGGCCAGTGCTGGGTACGGAGCCTATGATATGGGCCACCAACTTAGCCATGCCAGGCAAATTTGGCCATAACTAGCCTCATCCAATGGTGATTCGACTACGAACCTCGGTTTAGTAGGCATGGTCAATCGTGGATGAACATGAGAAACTCTTACCCAGCTAAGTTAGTGCTTCCAATGGCCTAATTCCAATGTTTCCTATATTCTTTGAAAATGGACATAATAGAAGACTCTAGAACATTGGTCATTAAATGCAATGGGTGAATCATCCTCTTAGGTGGCATTATGAAAATTTGGTAATGATGCCCAAAAATTTGGCTTTGAGAAGAAGCAAATGACTCATGGCTTAGGTATACCAATTGGAATGGCACACATTGGCCTTCCATAATTCCCCTAAAAACTTAGGATGTCACACCATTTCAATAGGCATGCCATATCTCCCTAGTAGGCATGCCATGCCACTCATCCAATAGATTTGCCACTCTATCTAGTAGGCATGCCACTTCAAGAAAACCTATTGGGCCATTTGGACAAGCAATGATGAGGATGGAGCCTATAAATAGAAGGACCCCCTCTTTCATTTCCACCCTTTGGCTCACTTTCTCACCTTCACCCTCTTGCACGCCTACCTCCTCTCTTTTGGCCAAGCCCTCTCTAGTTCATCTCTAGGTAAGTAGGATTCCTAACTCTTAGCTAGGGCGATAGGCTACGTCGTCGAGTTTAGTTGTGTGCTCACCTGTGAGAACCAGAACACATTATGATATTCTTTTCTATGGTTTGCTCATGTGGCATGTTTAAGTGCGTTCACGCCTAGAGACAAGGTTGAGGTTCGCTCGGCTTGGAATCAACATTAAGGCGAGATAAACCAAGCTGCAAGGCCTTGTCGGCATTGAGGCGTGCCGATTCCAAGTCTTGCTCGATGCGGGGATCCGTGCTAGGCGTTCAGTTCAAGCCACGAATCAAGGATTGCTCCCGGCATACTATATTGTGAGGGTCATAACACACACACACTCGTTTGAGCACACCCATGAACATTGTGTATGCATCGGCTAAGAGAAAGATAAGAAATTGACTTGTGTGAAGCGCCTTGTGTGATCACCAAAGGAAATATGCGCTCGTCGTCACATAGCGTTGGCGGCGATGCAACGTTCATTGAACGGGATGCCATGGTTGAGCCAGGATACCTGGGTTGAGCCTGGATGCCTCGGTAAGCTAGCACCGGAATGCCTTGGTTGAGCCAGGATGCTTGGGTTAAGCTCGGATGCCTCGGGTAAGCTAGGCCCGGGATACCTCGGTTGAGCCGGGATGCCTTATTGAGCTAGGATGACAGTAAATGAATCTTTCATGTGTGCCGGTATGTGCATAAGTATGTTTCCAGTGTTTATTGATAAGCCAAGGGTAAGTATGCATTAAAGGAGGGTCAGACTAGACACATGTTTGTAGTCGTGGTGTAGTAATGAAATAGCTATTAATCTGCCATCGACAATACGTTGCGAGTGCCGTACTTGCTTGATGATGAGATGTCCTCCTAGTAGAGAATTAGAGGTTTTACTTACTGAGTTTTCCCTGACTCGCTCCTTTATTTTCAGACGTATAGGTATGGCTACTCCACCCCCTGAATATTTTGGATTGCCTATAAATATGGAAGTGTCAGTCACAAATATTATCGACGTAGAAGCTGATGTTGCCCACCCCGTAAATGTACCACGACGATATGGGTCGAAGAAGGGTTTGATAATCTAGTTCCATACCGTTATATCGCTTGGTATGTTTGGTTCGACGGGAACCTTGTCGGCCCCCTTCGCGGGTTTGACCACCTAGGCCAAACAATGGGGCGACACCTGGGCCAAACGATGGGGCGACGCCCATTGTGGTGATGGTTGACCCATAAGTACCCTCATATAGCGAAGGGATCCCATTTTTGGATACTGCAGCCCATAGCGGAGCTAGAGATACCCTAGCCTTTTGATGTAGCTAGATAAATAGTTTGCAAATGTAGTGATGTTATATAAAGAAGCGTGTTATGTTTACTTCCCTGATTTCCAGCTATTATTTTGTTTGGGAGTTTGTTTGTGCACGTTTCTGCATGCTCGTATCAACAAGATACAAGAAACGAGACGGCGACGAGCCTGGGACTTCGCAACAATAACCCCCGAAGTGAGGACGCTACAACCGGCTTCCACATTAGCAATTTCCGACAAAAATTGGTCGGATAGACTTTATCGGCAAAACATGAAAATATTTAAAACTCAATTTGCATAATTAAAAAAATTTAAGACTGAATTAACAAAAGTATTATATATTTATGACTTTTTTGCTAATTTTTTCGTGTGTATCAGTGTAATTTTCAGACCATTTGTCTTCCTTGGTAATGGTTTATTGTGAAGAATGAGTTGATGATTTCTGTGCACGTTTTACTGGTCAAAACATAGACTATAACATATGTCGAAAAATGAGCCAATGACTCATCATGTCAACACAAATTCGGACCAACAATTTGGAATTCTTTTAACATTAGAAGCGGAATTCATAACTAGGATTCTACAAATTAAAATGGGCAAATTTACGACACTAAATTCATCTAACGATCTATATCTTTAAAGGAAAATTGTTTCTAGAAAATTATTTCCTGACTTTCTAGTATTTGGATGACGGAAAAGCGAATTGATAAATAGAAAACATTTTTTATTAATTGAAAATAATAAGCTTAGATCGAGAGAAAACAATTTCCGCTTCTAACAAGGAATTGTTAGAATGGGAAATCACTTTCTCTGAACTAGCAAATAAATAGAAACTAATCATTTTTCCTTTAGCATAATTTCCATAGAAAATATTTTCTTTTGTCATAAAGTTCTCGGTGAAAAAACAGGCGCACCATAATGGTCAAATGTCGCCAACTTAGATCATTTTTATGGCCTAGCTTTGATGCTTCGCTTTAAAATGGAGATTGGAGAATTATAAAACAAGAAGAGATTAGGTCTTGATCAGAAATTGTCACAAACTGTACAAATGAGCTATTAATCCTCGTAATAACCCAGAAAAAAAAACTATTTTGTTCGGGGCTTATTTATACGTTGAGAATTGATTATCATCTCATTTTACATGGACATGAATCTTTTCAAATGTCTTTTTAGCATATTTCATATGAATCTTCCTATTTTGAATAAAATTAATCCAGTTTCTAGTTCATATTAAATTAAAAGTGATTCGATAAAAGTTTAAAAAAATACCTAATTGCAATCATTATATGATATGGGAACATTTAATATGTAAATAACAACATTAATATTGAGAGAAAATAATAAAAAAAATCTTATAAGGAAATACTGCACATGAAAGTTAAAACAAATGTAAAAACTTTCACTAATTGCTAATTTGCAACATTAAAACTCATTAAAACTAGGATTAATATTTGGTGCACTGCCAACGTAGGAAAATCGTTACACATTCACTTTTACATGAGTGATATGTGTACTTCTAGTTAGTTTTCTGATCTTATTCTTCTACGTGTCAATTCAACTGTGAATGTGTAACTTATTTTCTAACTGGCAATGGACCTAATAAAAATCCTCAAACCTAAGTCATTTTTCTTTGGCTGATTCGGTTCTCTATTTTCATTTCCTTGCTTTCCTCCCATTTGGGGAGTTTTCTCTTCCGATTTAGTCTAGATCCGAAAGCTTCTCTCTCCTATTTCGGAAAGGTTTCTATCTCGATCTAGTTTAGATATGGGATTTTTGTGTGTATGTTTCGAAGTTTTGCTTCCCTCATGTTTCGTTGGTGTACAAGTCCTTTCAAAGGCGATCAGATGAGCTTCGTAAGGGTTTCGCTCTCACCGTTAAATATATGCTTATTTAACCTTTTTACTCTGTACGGCGATGGTGTTGGGGACGCTGAACCTAGGAGTGCACCGCCAAAAGGCAAAGCCGTAGCTATACATGGAGTTTTCGGTGTGTGCTCATTATTGAAGACAAATTCGGTGATCGACCAGCCAATTTGGTTTGAAGAAGTCACAAATTTGTTCGTCGAGCGTGTGATCCCTGACCTTATTCTGATGATTCATTTTGTTATCTAGAGCTTGTTTTGATTTGAAACTGTCTGGGATTTGTCTTGGTTTGCAGTTGGATTGCGTTGTTTTTCTCTTATTTTTTTGTGAAAATGAATGAAATGTTACTTTGACAAAAAAAAATGGGGCAAGCACAAGTCCTAATTGCAAGCAAAATGAGTAGAGAATGCATAAAAATAAAAAATAAAAAATAAAAATTACTTCTTGAGAGGAGAATGACTGATTCTTACAAATTAGAGTCCTATGTGTGACTCTACCGGCAATCTTTAAGAAAGAGCTTCGTATTATATATTTATATAAATTAATCTTTTACATCATTTCTCTTTGGTTTCCTTCGATTTCCATACCAACAAACTAGAAAGCACGAACATTCTTCGGGGGCCTCCGCGTCGGTATCGGATGTGTGTCGAACACGGACACGCGATTGATACGTGGTCGACAGGTGTCAGACATCCGACACGTGGGCAGCGCTCCGGACACGCCAGCGACATCCGAATCCAGCATCTCGACACGCCATTTCAACACACACGGATCAATTTCAAATATTTTCAATAAATAAGGGGTCAAAATGTAAATTCATTATAGGCTCTTTTTCTATTTGTGAATTTAAATTGAGAGAAACAATCATAAAAATAATAATTATAAAAATATTCATTTAATATATAATGTATTCTAAGGTATCAAGACTTTTTATTTCTTAAGAAATGTCGTGTCGGCCTATCATGTCGTGTCAGCATCTACAGTTCCCTAAATCGTTCGTGTCTCTCTCTCCTAAGCTAGTCAGAGTTGAAGTCAAGTCGTCTCTCATCACCCCTCTCTCCTTCACTTTGCCCAGGCCGCTCTGCTTCCCTCGACCTTCCTGCACCCACCTGCGAAATGCCCCTCGACTTGTCACCGCCGCTCTCTTCTATCTCCCTCTGCCCATCTTCTTCTTCTTCTTCATCTTGCACCCGGAATTCCTCGCGCAATTGCAAGCTGACCCATCCATGGCTTCGCCCGAATTTGGTCGACCGGAGGGGACCCGGAGGCCGCGTGCGCTGTCTGTCGACGAGGCCCAAGAGATGGGCGAGCGCGGCGAGAGTGGACCCGGAGGCAGAGGATCTGGTGAGGGTCCTGATGAGGAAGTTCAGCGACAGGGAACCGCTGTTGAAGACGATGGATAAGTACGTGAGGGTTGTGAGGACCGAGCACTGCTTCCTTCTCTTTGAGGAGCTTGGCAAGACTGATAAATGGACCCAGTGCCTCGAGGTCAGTGGTGGTGGTGGTCTCTCTCCCTCTCTGTCTCGCTCTCTGACTTTATATTTGATGGGTCAAAAAGGCTGTTTTATGCGATTTCAGCTTCTGGGTATTCAAAGTTCGTGTTAGAGGACGGCAAACTAGGATGTAATCTGTATCAGTACGGTCAAATGGCTTAAGCTTTTAGGACAAGTAGGGTGGCGTTCCTTTGCACGTTTGGTGTGTGATGAATGTTCTATGTGAATGTGTGGTGCGCAAACAGATGTTTTTACACTGGCATCCCCCTCTTAGTCCTTATATTAGTCTGTAAAGAAGGAATCCAGATAATGTGGCCTGCTGCAAAGCATGTCATCTCCATGCGTAATTGACAAATGTAGCTTTTGTGACTAAAGATAATCCCATCTGATGAAATGGGAGCAAATGGTTTGCCCTTATGCTGGCATGGTGCTCATGACATAATTACTTCGTGAAGAAATTACTTGATAAATTTTGAACTTCTGTGCGGATTTACCTTAGCCCGATTGAGCAGCTTCTTTACGCCACGTGCGTTCAGGTGTTCAGATGGATGCAGAAGCAGCGCTGGTATGTAGCCGACAATGGTGTATATTCAAAGCTAATTTCGGTCATGGGTAAGAAAGGGCAAACTCGCATGGCCATGTGGCTGTTCTCAGAGATGCGAAACAGTGGGTGCCGGCCCAACACTTCAGTTTACAATGCCCTCATTACTGCTCACCTTCACTCTAGTGACAAAGCAAAGGCTTTGGCCAAAGCTCTTGGTTATTTTGGCAAGATGAAGGGAATGGAACGCTGTAAGCCCAACGTCGTGACCTATAACATCCTTTTGAGAGCTTTTGCTCAAGCTCGAAATGTGGAACAAGTCAATGATTTGTTCAAGGACCTCGACCAAAGTATTGTTTCGCCCGACATATATACTTTCAATGGTGTGATGGATGCATATGGAAAAAACGGGATGATCCGAGAAATGGAGTCTGTGCTTTCTCGTATGAAAAGCAATCAATGTAAGCCTGACATTATCACATTCAATTTGCTGATCGATTCTTATGGGAAGAGGCAGGACTTTGAGAAGATGGAACAAGTCTTCAAGAGCTTACTGCGCTCTAAGGAGAAGCCAACATTGCCTACATTTAACTCAATGATCATAAACTACGGGAAGGCAAGACTCAAGGACAAAGCGGAACAGGTCTTTCAAAGGATGCGTGCTATGAAGTACACACCAAACCACATCACATATGAGAGTCTAATTATGATGTATGGGTTCTGCGATTGTGTTTCTAAAGCTCGGGATATATTTGATGAGTTGATTGAATCTAGGAAGGACACAAAAATATCAACCTTAAATGCGATGCTTGACGTTTATTGCATGAACGGTCTACCTATCGAAGCGGACCTGCTCTTTGAGACAGCAAGAATTGCTGGGGTCAATCCTGATTCATCAACATATAAACTTCTCTACAAGGCATATACTAAATCTCGGAAAAAGGAGCTTGTGGACAAGCTGCTGGAGTGTATGGACAGAGCTGGCATAGTACCCAACAAAAGATTCTTCCTTGATGCACTGGGTGCTTTTGGGTCTCTACCTGCTTCTCCAAAATCTGACAGTGCAAAGAGTTCAAGCAGTCCAGAAGCGACTATCAAGGCTTGAGTAGAATTAACTCGTGAATTTGGTTATATGGGTTAGCTCTCTCCATTTAATGGAGCTCTCCAAGAAAGATTCATAATACAAGAACAGAGCAACAATTCTTCAACCGATCCTCTGAGATGTGACTTGCTCTTTTGGTACTGGTATCAGTGGTATGCATATCTTGCTTTCATATGAGTATGCATTGTGTTCTTTTGTCTTTGATGGTGCTTACGTCCTGAAAACTTAATCAAATAAGAATATACTGTGGCAGATATTTGTGTTAATGATCTTTTTCTCTTGAAATAATTAGTGTAACAATGCCTTGAACTGAAGACGTTTACTGGATTTTCTAAGTACTCATGGGTTAAGCACTCAGTTTTTCATTACATGGTTTCTCTTTTGGATCTTGTGTCAGTTCACACCAACATAAAGTTGAAGACACTCTTAAGTGTTGTGTGCCCATTCTTTCAATTTTCACCTATATCTATTGCATTTTCATGCAGTTAAAGTTAGTGGCGAATGCCAAGAAAGGTTTTTAAATTATGACTGAACTGGAGTGTGGAATAGGTATTTTGATCTTGATTTATCTTTTTCGCAACTGTTTTGACCCAATTAATATCTGCCAATATGTGGGACTGTTTGAGCATATATCTAAATATTCAGGTTTATCAATCTACTCTATTCCATGTCAGAATATAAGCATCTAGTATGGCAGAAGCCTAGCCATCTGTTTCAGCTGAACTTGAACTGATGTTTGTCGGTATCTTGTTCTTGTAGCATTAGTTGACAAAAAAATTGACGAAAACAGTCTATTGTCAAAAGAAAAAGTTGATCTGGAGCATGGCCAAAGGATACCGAGGGCTTCCAGCAAAGCAAGCTATTGGGGAATATCAATTTTATGGCCCTTTTTAGTGGCTCAAGTTAGGGGTTTCTCTTCATGCTAATAAGACAGTCTGAGTGTCTATTGCTGAACATGCAATCCTCCTTTTCCTTGTTTTTCAGCTGGCGAGCTAATCTCGTGTTGAAGCTCAACCATTACCCTGTTCAAAATACATGCACAATCCTGCTCCTAACTTAGATTGGATATTAAATTGTGTTTTTTGGCCTATATGGACTTTCTTTGGTACCTTTGCACATAATCTCTTCACATAATTAGCCTGTCCATTGTCCTTGACTTGGACTGATCAATCTTATCTCAAGCATTTGCCTTAATTTGTTGAGTTGAAGTTTTAGCTTATTACTTGACTTCAATTTGAGGTCGGTTGACATCAGTATAGGAACGTGACTTAGCACAACAGCTCTTTCTTTTCTTTTTTTTTTTTTTTTTTTGCTGCCCTTCTGTTGAGAAAAACCCGTTGTGCTGTTTCGCATATTTTGGACATCCTGAGTGACCCAAGATTAGACTTATCACTGGAAGTTCCCTTTCTGACCATAGTCCTTAGAATGACCTCCATGTGGTTCTGTTCGTATGAATCATGCCTCCATCACTTTGTGTGACCTTCATTTGAGCTCTTTCACTGCAGAATGTTGCTCAGCCGCGATTGGCAGTGTTGCTCGGACCTCTGTGGATGTAGTAAACCTTTTTCCAATGGGTTCAATGGTACAAAAGCTATTTCGGATGTTATCGGGTCTGACTGGACTTGGGAGGATCTTGCAGCTGCTTTTCTTCAACTGTATGTATCATTAGTTTGCAAAATCCTTGAAAAATTCCCTCGGATTCATACTTCCAATTTTTATTCATAGGATGATCCATCTAGTGCTTTATGTTCTAATGTTGCTCATAAGCTGATATCTTGTCGATTTCCTTTTCATGTTCTTGTGTATTCCTGATGTACTCTTGAGAGAAGTGACTAGTCAAATGGAATGGGTTCGAAATATCTTATGTTTGTTTACGAGGGAAATCATGTGGGAATACAAAAATTCACAACCAAACGTCGAATATATGTCCAAAAAGGAGGGAACAATTGCATCATGGAATCTAAAACTTATTGCCTGAAGCACAAGCGAGTCACAAGACATTTTGTTTTGTGCTATCATGTTCTTAAACATGTGGCCACTGTTTAATTGAAGTCCTTTTGTTAACTCCAAATACGCAAATCCCACGCGATGGTCCCATGCAGCATACGAGAGATCCTTTGAATTTTAAGTCGATGGATTTGATTGAATACGTGCTAAGAGCTCGAGAATTTGAAAGATTCAATTGCATTCAGATGTGAGTTGTAGGATTAGCGTCCCTTTTCCCGTTCAGCGCTTCTGAAAACTTCCCCTGTGTAGGGAAAGGTCAATTCCTTTTACAACACAAGCCCCTATTGAATGCCGGTGTCAAACGGGGCCGCAATGATTATGACAAAGGCGGGTAACATAAAAGCAAACTCGCGAACTCTAACCGCGTTAGCATGTCGTGTCAAAAATCATCACCAATCACATCTAGCATTGTGCACATGAGAACCCATGAAACTGGTAGAAAACGAGATTAGATAGGCTCCACGTTTGGTATTAGAAGTCCCGAGAACTCAGAATCGATGAGTTTTAAGACAGTTTCGAAGGTATGAGACCAACACACCTGTATCTTGTGCAGGGTACCTTCTACGGTATAATCTGCTAAGGTTCTCTCGTATTTCACTGCAAAATCCCTAACTCTCTTCAAGGTACTCTCTAATGTGATATCAATTAAAAAGGATCCAAAAAACCGAGAACAAAGTAAAGAGAAATGATCATATGCTACGACTTACAAGGGAGTACACTATGCAAGAACAAGATAAATTTTACAATTAGTCATCGACCATGGGATTGACTCGATGCTCATAATATCTGATCCATTGATGCCGGCAACAGTCCTAACTGATAGACAAGGGTACAAATAATTCGAGTAATGCAATATCTTTCCGCCTCTCTTAAGAGGGATCCAAATCCAAACAAGAACTTAATGAATAACAATAGAATCATATGGAATTCGACTGGTTCAACCAACCAAAAAATCTGAACTGTTACTGAAACCAACATTATGGACTTGATCGCGATGTCGCCCGGTCATAACAAGCATTTTGACCAGTCATCCCATAGGAAGCATCTCATGCCAAGGGAATTATTACTCAGATTACTGGATGCTCACTTGTAAGCAGAAATTGAGTAAGTTTTCACCATACAGAACAACCCAATCTATCCCCTGAGATTGCTCTAACCAGCAGGAGTACGGTAAAATTGGAATAGCAATCCCCGGTAATAAACCAAATATCATATCATTACTAAGCAAAGTTGCCGGGCTTGAATAAAGCATGCACCTTCATCCACAGAGTGCCTAATTCACATTCTAAAAGTACAGTAGGCAATTTTTTTTTTCGGCTGCAAAACACTCTGTTTTCCTTATCGTTACATCCACTGCAATCTTTCACTCTGTATCAATCCCTTGTTTAAGGGAAATTGTCCAAAAAGTCATAAACCTATTGTACGGAGGCCGATTTAGTCCTAGACCTTTCAATTGTACCGATTTAGTCCTAAACCTTTTGACGATTTGCCAATTTAGTCATAATCCTTTCCATTATAACAGTTTGGTCCTAAACATTTTAATGATTTGTCAATTTAGTCATAAACCTTTTGACGATTCGCCAACGCGGTCCTTCCAGCCAAATATCCAAATAGATGGTTTAGGACTAAATTCAAAAGGTTTAGGACTAAAGTGACACAAATAAAGGTTTATGACTAAATTGGCAAATCATCAAAAGGTTTAGGACCAAATTGGCACAATCGAAAGGTTCAGGACTACATTAAATGCCATATAATAGATTTAGGACTTTCTGGACAATTATCGCCCTTGTTTAACTTATCCCAACAGCTCCCACCAATCATGTTTACCATTCTCAATCCTAAAAAGTAAATCCCTTGACATAAGAGAAATGACACATAAATAAAGAAGAAGAAACAAACAAGCCAATTTCCAAATGGCATAGTGAGTCCTAAAAACACAGGCATTGGGAGATTGCATCTCCCTCAAACCAAATGCTAAGTCCATGAAAACAGACTTCAGATAATGTAACAATGACAGTGGTTTCCCCCTCAGGGACTGGAAAGTACCTAAGTTCTAGTGATGCTACATGAGGAATGTTCTCATTTGAGCGCTGGAAGAGCATTCCCAGATTTCCCAATTTCAAGAAAGCATCCGGTACCATTCCTCCCGGGGAATGTTAGGATCATTAAGGACTTGCTAAGAAGTTTCCACAGAATGCTTGCACGCAACTTCAACAAATAAAGTGTAGTTCTAAAAACACTTTCTGGTCTTACTAACAACTCTAAAATGAGCAATGTCATTGTATGTGGCAGCTTCCCATCACTCTAATCTTCAAGGAGTCTTTTGGAAAAGATTGACAAACAAATGCCATAGAATAAGTACATATTAATCATGAGAGCTCTGTTCAAGTGTCCATTCATTTTGCAGTAGTTTTTCCACATTTACCATATGACAAGCTTATACAAGATGCTCATGATCTATGGCTGGAATTTTGGTTCTAATACCTTAAAATCATTCAGGTTACAACAAACCCCAGCTTAACACATAAATTGTTGCCAGAGAACTTTAATCCCTAGAACTTTCTGCAAAAGCTTTCACAACCGACATTCCCAACCCTTCCCCCCAAAAACAATAAACAAACATTGATCTTTCTATGAATACTTGCTAAATCCTTCTTTCTCCAAATGCTCCCAACCGATGAGCAATTTTTACAAAGAAAAGGAGAGGGGGGAAGAGGCAATGTTGACCCTGCAGGAGTCTATAAACCTTGCAAGTATGTATAAATCATGTTCCTGTCAATAAATAAGCTAACTATCTCATGGACGGGAGAGGTTTAACACTTACTAGCACTCTGGCTTAGACCAAAAATATTGTCTTCGCACCACCCAAAAAGGACAAACTTAACTTTCTCACAGCATGTGAACCCACTCAACCAGCAATGACAGATGAGCAGTCAGCCAAGCAAAAGAAGCAGGACCCACCCACATCCCACTACCTGATTAACCCTCAATTGGATTTATCATTATCCTGATTCTGTTAACTGGCAAGGAATACAGGAATTGCATATCACAAAGAAAGGTGTATGAATCGGTTTTAGTTTGGTCGAGAAACACAGATTTGTACTTATGACTAACCAGTGAGGAGATTCTCCATTTTTTTTAATATTTGATGTAAGCATCAGACTTCTCTAGTCCTCAATCCACTGAAGCATAACACCATAATATAACCAAATACCTCCTACTTCTAAATCCCAATTCTACTATAATAAGGAAATATTAACCTCATATTCGCTTTGATTTCAGTCTAGAAGCAGTACAACTCCATATAGTCCTTACTAATAATACAACCAAGAGCGGTCCAGAAACCAATTCAGACACGCCTAATTCATCTTATACGTAATTTGTCAAGCTAAGAGGCATTTTCACAACTATCTGAAATCAATAAACGGGAAGCTTCACCTGTCCATCTAAAATGTCGGAATTTTCCAACAACTTTGATGCAGATTAGGGTCTGCACATATTAAGGATGCTCAGATTGTGACTCAATAAGCTTTTTATGGTTTTTCGTAGACTGGGGCTTATATAAAGTCTATGGATTTGTACTTGCAAAAGAGAACTAGCTGAAAGTTTCATTTTCAAATAACGAATTAGAAATGAGTGCAGCTATATGATTCTGAAGAGTGAAGTCAAACAATGCTGATGTAAAAATATTTCTTACTTCAACCATCTTTCCCGGATATATGTATGTAAAGTGATAACATCCTGATATTAATGGCAACCTGAACATCTGTGACAGAGCCTTAGTAGCTCAATACCGACAGGTTCAAGAATTGATTTTCAATAAGACTTCAAAACACAGGTAACTTAAATAATCATATCATAATCTAACTCATCAAGTACCCTCAAGTATGGTATTGGTATCCACAATTTTAAAGGGGAAAAAGTATAAAGTCACATTTTGCAGATTGCTATATGAACAAGTAGAACATGTATGGATAAAAGGTACGCGGCTGTAACCAAATTCTCACCTAAGTTCTACTTCTAATATATTAGGTAAAGAAAAAATTTCTTCAATAGTCCTATTTACTTGCCCATTAAATGCTGACCGTTACTGTGCATAGTTGCATAATCTATCTAAAAAATACTATTTGGGAGTATGAAATAGCAAAATAATTAGATAGGATCAAATATCAAGGCCAGTATCACTATCTAAACAAAACAAGTAACACAAATAGCAAAATCATCTGAGGAATTGTTGTAGAAAAGAAAAGGGGTGTACAACAAAATTAATATGGAGTTAATTTCCGTTAAAAAGTGAAGATGAGTCTTACACAATAGAAATATGAGACAATTTATCCACAGGGGGAGAGAGAAAGAGAGAGAGTGACAATGAATATTAAGTTCTACAAAGGAATGTAAAAGGCACTCCGCCAACCCATCATGGAAGAGCAAAATCATTCCTCAAGTTCAGCTGCACTTTCATCTGCATATGGAAGTCCAATAATGTAAAGACCAAAAAACAAGACAAATTCCCCCTTAAATATAAAAAAAATCAAATAAAAAGTGTATAACGAACAAAAAAATTCAGAAGCAGAAACAACTAACAAGAATCCACAAGGCAGCCTAAAAAAGGAATAATTATGTCCAGGAAGATGGAAGAAAGCCACTGCTGCTTTCCTCAAGTAAAATGGCACCCCAAAAATCACAAATAATATGGCAGATAAATTTGGAGGCAGAAGAGTGAGAAATTGCATTGACAAATTTGGGAGAAGAAACAATTTAGTCGGAAAAGTTAATAACCTAAAACGCATTGACCGAGCCAAAGAAACAACACCCCTTAAAGCAAGATCATTAAAAAAAACAAAATGGTCCG